AGACTCCGATTTTTCTTTTTTCTGTTTTCATACTTTTTGTTTTTATGTTTTTTCAGCTTTATGTGCTATTTGTTTTTAAATAGCTATTTTTTTTTCTGTTGCTTCATATTGACTACCTTTTCAGTCACTTTTTTTGCTTTCTTTAACTGTTACAAAGATTTTTTCGTTAATAAGAAGTTGAGAAAAGGGTATAGTTTTTCTTTTTTTTTCATTGTAATATTTCTGAATTAGAATCTTTTTCTCTAACTTCTAGATCTATAGTCAGTTGTGAATAATAATATAAAGGATATTTAAGCACAAGCTACAAAAAGATTGTATTTAAATTTTTGAAGGTTTCAAGTTTTTCTTCTAAATGTTGAATCTTTTTATTTAGTAACTCAATTTCTGATCTTAATTCTTCTTCTGTAGAATTTGACTTTAATAAAGATAAGGATGAAGATAATGAAGACAAAAATAGTGAAGATGAAGATGACAAAAAAGATGAAGATAATGAAAAATTTGAAAACAGAAAAAAGAAAAAATAGAACAATTAAAAGCAAAAAAACAATATATTAAGAATGCAAAATGCTTAGAAAAAAAAAGAATTTAATACTTACTATTACCATTACAATCTTTGTCAATTTAAAGATAGTCTTTTGATAATCTTAATTTTGAAAAAATATACATATTTAAATAAAGATCTGCTTTATTTATAAAAAATCAAAGTTTAGTATAAATAAAAAATTTTTTTATAACTAAATCTATTTAATTTGGTAAAAAATTGTACCTTTTTATGCTAATTCTATAAAAACTTGCTAGTGATAAAAGTTAACTGCATCAAATTAGACATACTTACCTTAGTGGTTAAGATATTTTTTGAAAAAAGTGATCACACGGGTTGAATAAGTGATTCTCATTTAATTTAATTGGACATAGGTCACGTGTCACAAGGCATAAAAGGTTGGGCATGACACGAAAAGAATTTTCGGCCGTAGACTCCGATTTTTCTAGGTCCCGGGTATATCACGTGATAGATTGGATGTGTGTTATGATAAGTTTGAGTAAAGCATAAAGTGATGTAATGATAGAAATAATATAAAAGTAAATTCAAATAAAGAATTAGTTAAGTCTTTTTGCATTGAGAAAACTGTTAGGTTCGAAAGCGAACTACTTACCTGTGATAAAATTAAGGTCAACGAGAAACTATTAAAGGAATGTATAGAACATACTTTATACTACAGTACTTGTAAGCCCTAGAGCTAGATACAGTATTTGTGACTTTGATCACAGCCTAACCCCTTGACACTAAAGTAAAAATTATGATGATAAAAATTTATATGCAATTTACATGCAATTTACAGAATCAAAAAATATCGGTTGCTTCTAGAAAAATAAAAATAGCGCAATATTACTTTCTCTAAATAATTTAATAGTAAAATGTGGATCGAAAAGATTAGTGATCATCGCACTATGTGATAAAACCGATATTAAATACTCCGTAACATGAAGGATTTATAATCATCATTGCCTGTTTTTTTTTTTCTCTGGCAATACTAGGAAAATCTTTTACATCATTGAAATCCATTTTAATAAAATTTTATTAAATTTTGCCAGTTATTAACAAAAAAAAAAAAAAAAAACTGAAAAATATCAAAAAAAAAAAAAAATATATATATATATAAAATAATAATAATAAACATGATTTATAAAAATTATTTTCACCGATTTGTAATGAGAACCATTAACCCAAACAACATGTCTTATTTTATTAATATTTCTGATTATAATCAATAATTTAGACATTTAATCCCAATCTTTCTTGATATCAAACAACTAAAAAAAAAATTAGATTGCATATTAATTGTTGTATATTGCATTGAAACATAAAATCAATCAATCTTTTAATCTCACCCAGGACCATTCAACATGAGTGTGGTTGTCATCGTCAACAAATTTGCTCTGAAAATGATTAATAGAGATTTAGTCTTTATTTTTAAATATCGCACGACTTTAAATATAAATTTACAAACCTTCGCTTCATAACGGCCACGGGCAAACATACCGCTTGGGGCTTCTTCGAGCATAAACTAAGTTTTATTGAATAAGATTATTAATGTTCTCGAAAGCGAATCATCAAAATTCATGAATAAGACCTACTTTCTTCTCATATGGTTCTTCGCTTGGACCATAACTACCAATCATTTCCTCAGTTTTGTCAACTATAAAGAAAGAGTACAGAATAAGTTTAATACTGTATAAAAGTAATTACGTTTTAGTGCCAATTACCTCTGATGCCTTTTCTCTTGACGACTTGCAAATATTTAAGGCCACAAACAACATCGTGTTGAATTCTATATTAGATGAATATGTAATGAGAGAATTTTGGAATATGTATGTTGTTTGATTTATGTTTCGGATTATTACCTGAACTTAACTTTCATTTGATATTCAACACCTTCTTTGATAACGAAAGGTGTGTTTTTGACATTTTCAAGAGACTCTACAAATAATAAAATTTGTATGAGATATTTTTATATACAAGGAAATTTATTTGTTATAAAAGTCATAAATAAAATACCTTTAGATGATAAGTCCAATACTACGTCAGGTCTCCCAGCAACCTCAAGGGCAAGTTGCAGAATAATTACCTAAAAGTTAAACTTATTAGCTGAATGTCCAAAATTAAGTAAATTTTTGAATCTATTTTGCGTACCTTGCGGGTGTCATCACTGGTGCCTGAAGGACCATTCGTACATACAAAAATAAGAAAGATTTAAGCTAGATGTATTTGTCAGTTTTAAAGCGAATTAGGTACTTGCTTACCAGCTGCCTTCCCTAAACCAAGTGACGCTTTCCATCTGTTGAGAGATTCGTCGGTAGCGTCCAGATTATTATATTCGTCAAGGGTTTTCTTTTCTCCTACTCTGTAACCAGGTGTTTGACTCGCAGCAAGTTCATCGTTATCGGTACTCATCGTACTATCGTACTATAAATGATATGAAAGGAGTATTATTTGCAAAATATGTGGAGCGAGAAGATCGAAAGTATTAACTCATTTGCCCTCCCCAGATATACACTTTTAAGAACATAAAGAATGTATAAATGATCATGTGATATGTCGTGTTTATTGAGCACTTAGGTGATGCGAATGCATCTATTTGCGCAACAGCATATCAGAGTCGATCTTTTTTTTTTATACGATGATTTTCTGCGTTGTTTATATTGAACCTCTTAATTATCTGCATTTCAAATTACGGAAAGAAAATATTTTTAGTTCATCCATAAATTTTTACATTATCTACATCGGAATTTACACATAAAAATAGTTGACTGGTCCATACTTTGAGGACAGATTGAATTTTAGTATAATATTAATACGTAGAAACTTGTTTGATCAGTTATGCTACAGAAGAGAAGCTACAAAAATCAAATATTAAGAAAGATTGATCGACAAAATTGTTTTTTTTGTTCTATTTTAAAATTTCGCTTATGAAACCGTTTTTTGTGCTCTAATAAAAAAAAATTCCTCTCATAATTTTGGTATAAAGTCTATTTAAATTCCTCTTCTAACCTTAACTCGGCCCAAACCTAACCCTAAT